CTGAGGCAGGAGACTCGCTTGAGCCCAGGAGTTGGAGGTTGCTGTGAGCGTGATGCCACGGCACTCTACCCAGGGGGATAGCTTGAGGCTCCATCTCAAAAAAAAAAAAAAAAGAAAGAAAGAAAGAAAAAGAAAAACTAGCTGGGCATTGTGGTGGGCACCTGTAGTCCCAGGTACTTGGGAGGCTAAAGGAGGAGGATTGCTAGAACCTAGGAGTTTGAGGTTGCTGTGAGCGATGATGATGCCATGGCACTCTAGCCTGGGCAACAGAGTGAGACTGTCTCCAAAAAATAAACATCATAATAATAATTTAAAATCTAACACATGTTCACTGTATCAAAATGCAAAGTACTGACTTAAAAATCTCTGTAGATCCCATTGAGGTCCCTCCAAGAGCAGTAGTAGCATGTGAGTGTGTAATCTTGCACATACTTCATTTATTAACGCATAGGCGTGCAGGAGGGAGAGAGAGAACAAGAGAGCACAAGCAAGCAAACGTACCAGAATTTTCTTTTTCTTTTTGCAGTTTTTGGCCGGGGCCAGGTTTGAACCCACCACCTCTGGTTCAGCGCCCTACTCCTTTGAATCACAGGCGCTGCCTCAGAATTTTCTTTTTTATATAAATGAGATGTTACCACACTCTCATTCAGAACCTTTCTGTCATTGAATTATAGGTCTGGAATTTCATTGTGAATATATTCTCAATTAATTCTTTAATTCTTCCCAAGGACTGTGAAGCATTCCACTCTGTAGCAGCACCATGCTGGAACTGGCTCCACCTAAAGCTCTTGGAGCTATTTCTGGTGTCACCTTGTTGCAGACTCCTGCTAGCAAGAGTGCCAAAGCCTCTTCTTACCAGGGGCTCTGGGTACAAACTAGATCACATACTTAGACTCCTCCCTGGGGGGTTATTGGTTCATTGAAGTTTATCCATCTGTTCTGGAGTCAGTTTCCCAGAAGGAGCTACTGGGTTGGTGCTGGGTTTTCCCTCCCAAGGGCATTTGGAGGGATGTGGTCTCTTGGGAGAAAGTTACTGCAAGAGGACCTGATGCTGGGCATCAGGTTTCCCAAAGAGCAACATTTCTCATCCTTGGGGAGTTTCAGGGACAAACAATTTTCATATGTTTTCCCCTTCCTGACTTGGAAAATAATTAAGATCTGGAAAGATGGCTGGGTGCAGTGGCTCATGCCTGTAATCCCAGCACATGGGAGGCTGAGGCTGATAGATTGCGTGAGCTCAGGAGTTCGAGACCAGCCTGAGCCAGAGCAAGACCGCCTCTCTAAAAATGGCCTGGCATTGTGCTGGGCTCCTGAATTCCCAGCTGCTTCGGAGGCCAATGCAAGAGAATTGCTTAAGCCCAAGAGTTGGAGGTTGCTGTGAGCTATGACATCATGGCACTCTACCAGGGCAACAAAGTGAGACTCTGTCTCAAAAAACAAAAAAAGTGGAAAGACAACTCAAAGGAAAACCCAAGGGGCTATACTTTCAGCAATGTAATTCCTCTGGCTAGAGACTAACAATTTCATCTTAAACATCACCAATTCATATTTGTCAATACTAACAGAAGACAATATTGTGAGATGCCATTTCAGAGTGTGTGCCACTCACTTTGGGAGGCTTTGTTGATTCAAAAAACATTAAGACCATGATCCCCACCACATCCTTAGAGGTGGAGAAAGATAAATAAGTGAAATGCATTGTATGGTACAAGGTGATTATTGCTATGGAGAAAAACAAATCAGGGAAGAAGGGAAGTGTGTATAGGCATGGACTCTACTTCAGCTGCCTTATCTGAAAAATGGGGTAAAATCCCATCTACATCATAAGGTTGCTATGAGGACCAAACAGCACTGGCAGTACCTGGCTCATAGCCACTGGTGCCTCCATATTGATTGTAGCATTAAACAAGAGCTAGGAAAACAGTGATGCTTTGAGCTTACAATATAATGCTGATAAAAATCCATTTGATGTGGGTGTTATATTGGTAGTTTGTTTCCTGAAGGGGTGAGCTAGGTTGAATGGTAGTTGAATGGGAGTTTGGGATGAATTAAACTTGTATTTTTATTCTTAGTCTCTTGACCACAGGACTCAGGAAATAAAGAGAGAACTGACAAAAAGGCAATGAAGAAAGAATCTCCCCATATTGACTTTTCTGATGACAAATTAATACATCCTCAGTGCAAAGAATCAAGCATCATAGAAGTTTCCAAGGTAGAAACTCACAGGCAGGCAGCCAGGCATTGTACACTTGTTCATTGCAACATAGTTTATATCAGCAAAAATTTAGGAAATAACCAACCGACTGTGGGCTCCCAGGAAGTAGATGAGCAACCTATCTTACAGTCAGAGGAAGAAATAGCTCTATGCAACCAACCAAGAAGTAGCTGGATCTGTATGAATAATAATGT